GTGATAGCACAATTCAGTCAGCTTTAAAAGCATTAATTAGATGAATATAAGTGATATATCAGGAAAAGAAGAAAGCATGTACATAAATTGAAATATCAAAAAAAATTTTGTCTAAAAGCAAGTCCAACGGCAATGGCTGGCATGTGGTCGCTTTTTTCATTTCCTTCTCTAACGTCCCTTTCTACCTTTTTACCCCAGATACATATAAATAAACATCATTAATATTTGCATTCAACTAGTACCCAATTAAACAGAGATATAAAAGTAATGCTCCCAGTTTTTGCTTCTTAATATATACTTACTGAAGAGTAAATAAACTTTCTTTCAATCAGCCTCAAAGGCAGTACTTCTCAACATTTCCTGAAGAATCACCTAAGGTGCTTTTAAAAATCTGATGCCAAGGCCACACTACTGACCAATTCAATCAGAACCTCTGGGGTGGGATCCAACCATCAGAATTGTGTAAAGTCCCCCAGGTGATTTCAGGTACAGAACTTCTGCTTTAGGGGGAAGCATTGGAAAAGAAAGATTTCACGCTAGTGAAAGAGACATTTTGGAGTGGAATACATCACATTGCTCTAGTGAGGCTGCCAAAAGGTAAAATAGTTCTGTTAAAGATAAAGGGCCATGTTTATTAGGAGAGAAAAAAAGCTATATTTAAAAATCACAACTATGGTAAGAAGATTATCAGGGATGTGGTCTTTGGTGTGGTGTGAAAACATGCATTTGTAGAGATGTGAACCTATACCTCTAAAACAGTTACCTCAATAGACATGATTTTAAAAAATCAAAATATACAATTCTATGATCATCAGGTATGCTAAGTTTGGTTAGATATAATTATAATACACATATATTTGTAAATCAAGGAACATATGAATGAAAACTAAAAAATATTTAGAGAAGTATTATCAACTGTGATTTAATTGGATGCTTGGCAAAACAAATTCCTAATGCATCTAACATGTATCAGGGTATATAAAAATAAAATTTTTAATTGCAAATACATAAAAATTTTAAAAGTCACTAGAGACTCAGTTTCTAAGTCATGATGGGAGCAAGTTACTTCACTTGAGTTTTAACTATAAAATATTAATTACAATAGCAATACCTATCTCATAGTTCTTGGAGGATGATCAAAGAACACACACACACACACCAGAAAATGTTTTATAAACCGAAAAATTTATTATTACAGAGCTAAGCAGAACTATTTATCATTGAAAAGATTAGTTATTATGTGGACAATAGCTCTAATTGGGATTACTACCTAAAAGTCTTGTCACTGTTTTAACAGACACTTACTTTATAAAAGCTAAGTGTCTAAGCCCATATTTCTCAAAGATGGCTCCCAAACCAGTAGCACCAGCATCATCTAGAAATTTGTATAAAAGGCAAATTTTTATAATCTACCCCAAAGTGAAGGCAAAACCCAGCAAATTTGTTTGCACAGATCCTTCTAGTGATTCTTATACTAAAATTTAAGAATAATGTTTAGTCAAACATTAGTAAAAGAAACTGTGTATGATTATATCAAAAGATGTATATACAATTTTTATAATATGAATCTTTAAAAGGTATACTGCCACAAATTACTACTGAAAACTAAAAAACTCCTAAAGCCTTATATTAAAACATAATTCTCATTCCCAATGCAAGCTTTATCAATGAACATATTACTACTCACTAATTCAATGGTAATATGGTTCTGTTTTATTTATTTTCTTTTCTTTATAAATGAGGCTTAACGGAATTTACTTTAAATCACAAGATGTCTGTATTTAAAGAACTTGGGTTGAAATTTGGGGAGAGGGTATATGGAGGAAGAATTATGTTATTATTTGAGATCTGCACTCTATATCCTAGGAAATATTTTCCACCTATTCTAAATAAAGAAAACAAAAAAGAAGAGGTTGGTTCTACTTATCCCTGCTAATAAAATTATACTGGCAATCCCTTTGTCCCACCTCATAAAAAAAAGGGGGGGGAGGGGAACTCTAAACCTTTATTTCCCACACTGAAAGAACTAGCACAAATATAATTACTAAAATAATTATTTCCTTCTACTCATTCATTCATTCATCTATAAACTCTAATGGTATCTAGTATGGTTCAGATGATGTTTTACTTGCGAAGTGATTTGGGAAAATGCCAACTTCATTCTACACAAGACACATAGAATTATATGTATTTGGAGGTAAGTTTCAGTTTCTTTATAAACCAAGAACAGGGCACTCAACTTTGAGTATCAGAATTTCCTGGAGAGTTTATCAAAACATAAGACTGCTGGGGCCTCCCTGGTGGGGCAGGGTTTAAAGTCTAAGCACCAACAAGCTATTACCAGCCACTGGGGCATGAGTTCGAACCCAGCCAGGGAGCTAACCCACATGGCACAGCAGAATTCTCCTGTTTCACCTACTGCTTCCCTCAGCAGTAGATTTTAGTTATTCTGCCGGTGCTGTTCCCCACTGTGTCTCTGGTGAATCCTCTCACCCCCTGTAACTCTGGCCTACGGTCCAGTTCTTATAATGCATACATAAGTAAAAATAAGTCTTTAAGAAAAACACAGACTGCTGGACCTAACCCAAAGACTCATTGCTCAGTGGGTTTCACATGGGACCACAAATGAACATTTCTAATAAATTCTTAGGTGATGTTGAAACTGCTGGTCTAGGTACCACACTTTGAGAACCACTTACTAAGCAAGACAAATGGCAGCTCTTCACACCAGATCTGCCAAATTTCAAGCACGTACATCTTTCTTCCAAAGAAGGCAATGGCCTCATAAGTGCTGTCATAATCACTTACATCTGAACAGAATTCCTGTTCCCAGAACCACCTCAAATATCTAGGAGTCAGTAGTTCCAGAAAAGAACAAAAATGTATAAATAACAATGAAGAGAAAATTCTCTTTCCAGAGATCTTTTCTCCTACCCTATTTTTCTTTTGTTTAAACCCCTATCATGAGAAATCACTTCTGTCCAATAATTTCTCAACAAAAGTGTTATTAAAAAGAATAACACTCAGATTTTTCATACTTCTTTAATAAAAATCAGTTTTTCTTCTGAATTCAATTCTAAAAAATAACAAATTTAGTTCTAACAAACATTGATTTTCACTGTTGAACTATCTTCTTTTTGAACAAAAGAATCATAAGGTTAGAAGGAACATTGAGAATTCACTTAATCCCTCCTTGGCCACAGACAAGACTGTGTCTAAACTATCCCCAAATATAGCAATTTTCAGTACAAAGACAAACAGGCACTAAGAATTTCCCATTCAACATTCTGTCACATACTTGAAGATACTAATATACTTTCCCTCCGCCTTCTCTTCTCCAAGTTAATCAACCTCAACATTTAGAATTTCCTCAACAGATTTCCTAAACTTTATTTTGACTTATTTAATAAGTTTACCCTATCCTATCTCAGTCTGAATTTTGTATGTTATCATGAAGAATTTTTGATATATGAAAGGGGAAGTATTGATTGAATAAAAAGGAATTTAACTGAAATAAGGAAAGATATATGCATCAATGCCATGAAACTACAATACAATGGCATTCACTGGAACAACTGACTTTGATATCCTTGTTTTATTTAAAAAACTATAGTAATGCCCCATAGTTTAAAAGACTTTGCATTACAAATCACCAGCCATTTCACATGTAAAACGGATGGGAATTAGAGATCTTTTAAAATAGGCTACAAGTTATAAATAACCATGTTTTATAATAGTTCACGCTGGAGAAACATTACTGTTACTATTTGATTTTTGCTTTTTAAGTTTTATATCGTGATTAACCACCAAAGTGGGAGTTGTAGTTAATGCGTTAATTCTATGTGAGTCTAAAAATGAATCCGCTCTATGACAGTGATTTCTATAAAAATAATCCTCTAATTCAAGACTGAGAATGAAAGGCGTTTATTCAGTGAGTACAGAAAAAAGAGAGGATAAAGTCCAGGTGAAATTGCATGTTTCTGAGCAATTTAAGGAGATAAAATATAGGTAATAAATTGGAAAGTGGGGTAAAATGGGATGATTCGTTTTATTTCAACATCTCCCATTCTAATATCACTATTCAAAATTTTAGCTTTGCTTTTGAAATGGTGAGGTGCTCCAACCTAAGCCTGAGTCACAGGTTTGTTTCCTTGCCTATTGGGATCAAGGTGTACGGTGGAGGCGATGCATTTAGTCTCCAGAGAGAAGGAAGATGCTGCTTGCACAGCACTTCTACTCACCAGTCCATGCAGCAGCAAGGGTGTTGGCTTTGAAGGAAGCCAACTGTCCTGCTCTCCCAGCCAGAGGTAAAGAATTGCATTGGTGGCCACTAGAGGGAGGAGGATTAGGAATAGAGTAAATTGTGGGGAAAAGGCACCCATGAAAAACGCACATGGGACAACCAACACATCACCAACCACCGCCTAGCAGCTACCTCTCTGAGGGACTATAGTGGGGTCAGCATACACCATTAACCCAGAGACCCAGACACGGTAATTATTGTAGTATCCCAGCTTATAACCCCTTAATTTTGATGGCTGGAGAAGGGAGTTTGAATAGGATTGTGGGAAACACACAAGCACACAAACACAAAGACACAAGCATACAGACATACATTCTCATCCCCCATTACAAGAAGTTGCATCTGTGCCGTCTGATTCTTGCTCATTTTCTTATTTAAAACTCTTGATGTTCTTTACCAAGAATGAGTTCACGAAAAGCAAACAGCCCACCTTCAAGATAGTCTTGGGAGAAGCACCAGCAGAGACACTCATTGTGCCAAGATGTATTTTACCAACAAATCTGTACAAATTACATGAGGTTAAAAACAAATGGAATATAATATAATTAAAGCAAACTTTCTTTTGCTAAATTACAGCTTGAAGCAAACCTGCAAGAAATGTTTCCAATTAGCCTCTTTAGCAAACACAAAGCATAGCTCAGAATATGTTTTGCTTTACATCCTGCCCTCTGGGTGGGCTGCCTAGTGGGTGTCTTACCTCCAGCACAAGTAGCTGAGCATTCTGACCAGGGCTGATGATGCCATGTAAAACCAACTTCATTGTCCCCACTGCCAGTCCGAGTGATAGGAACGTTGAATTTATACCTAATTCCCAAATTCTGTTCCTGAAGTAGAACCTGCCATTGAAAACAACTGGTGAAGATAATTAAAATACAATGAGCCTTCATTCCGGCATTTATTAGATCTTTCGAAGAAGAAAATGTCATAAAGTAAGCCTTACAGAAAAGTTTAAATAACTATTTGAACACATGCACTTATGATGATTTTTCCCTCCATTTTCATGGGTACTTGAGAGCCATTTCTCTCATAGGTCTTTTTGGTTATAGAACTATCCAAGCATTGAAAAGATCAATGCTCATAAGAAAAGAACATTATGGCCTTAGCTTTCCACAAATTTTGTACGCTTAGGCAAACCATTTTACCTTTATTTGCATTAATTTCACTACCAATAAAACAGAATAAAGCCTGCTACTTCCTATTTGACAGGCATATTATAAATAGTAGAGTGAAATGGCAAAGACATTTACCATGACAATCAGATTTTCTGAAGTGGGACCTAGAGCTTCCAAGGATTCTGGTTCATCTGTTGGTCTCTTGTAGTGAAAAGCTGTCCCAGCAACATCAAACTTCCTAGGCCAGTCAATAGTCCAAGCACCATTAATATAGTAATCATCTCCTTCAGATTTCAAAGCTAAAAAACAAACCAAAAACACAAGACACCTAAAAACGTGCAACTTCATTTTCTGTAATATAAATAATTAATGATTGCACTGAAGTATATAATAATTATCCACTTCCATTAAAAGATGAGATTCTTGATCTTTTCCTTAAATATATAGTAAGATAATTATTCATGAGAATGTCAAGGAGATGTTAAGAAATTATGACAATATTTTTAAAAGTAAATGAGTGGTTTATCTGGAGGAATAAAAATGCAGAGCTAGAAGGAAAGTTACGACAAAAGGAATAATGGAGATTGGTGTGACAGTGAAAGAATTTCCTGCACAAATATTAAAATAGTAATTATAAGGACATAGGGTGGGAGAACCTGTGGTACTGACACATAGGCTGACCAAAACAATACAACTAAACAGACAGTTAGGAAATGAATCCATGTGCAGATGGGAATTTAGTATATTAAAAAGGAAGCATCTTAAATTAGTCAAGGAAAGACAATATGAAACTAAACTAAGACAAAAGCTTAGTTAGTCTGTTGGCAAAAAAAAAAAGGAAAAATTGCTGAATTAATATCTCAATTTTGTAAGAAAATAAATACTACAACCCTATTCCTGGATTTACCTTCAAAAGAAAATAGGTACTTGAACAAATAATTATACAGACATGTTCACAATAACACTATTTCCAAGAGCCAAAAAGTAGCAACAACACAAATATTCTTCAACTAGTAAACAGATAAACTATGGTATACACACTAAATAAAAAAGGAATGAAGCACTAGATACATGCTTCAAAGTGTAAGAAATTCAGAAGTATCATGTTAGGTAGAGAAGGCTATTCAGAAGTCACATGTCATATGCTTCCATTTATATGAAATATTTAGAAGAAATAAATGCATAGAGACAGAAAGCAGATGGGTGTTTGCTAAAGGCTGAAGAATAGGTAAAAAGTGTGTAACTGCTTAATGGAGTCTTTAAAATAGTTAATTCTATGTTATGTGATGTATATCTTAATAAAGACAAAATTTAAAAAAAAAAAAGAATAAATGCCAGGTATTTCAGTATAAACACTGTTAGACTATAAAATGCCAGGAGATATGGAAGAAAATTTTAAAAATGCTATTAAAATATGGAAAGCTTTTCTAAGCATGGCAAGAACCTCAGAAACCGTAAATAAAGGAAATGATTAGGACATATTTATGCATAATTTTTAAATACCTCTACATGAAGAAAAAGGTATAAAAAACTTTGAAATATGTGACAGAAAAAGGGTTTTTAGTGCTACTATATAAAAGTTCCCATAAATAAATGACAACGATGATTTTCATAATATATTATGCTTTGATAGTCAAAAATGTCAGCTTGATTTTTGGTTAGAATGATAACTTGCTTTAAAAGTTCATCCAGATCAGATGAACAAGCAGCACAAAAGGACTAAAAGGATCCTGGTACAGAGAATTTTTACCCTAGATTTCTACCCCTGCCCTGCACTGGTCTGGCAGATATAAACTTGTACTTTTTTGACTTCAGATATATTGTGAAGATACATATATCAAAAAATAAATCTAATTGACCTTTGAGACAGGAATATGTCAACCAAATTTAAGGATTTTTTTTTTGGTCTTGGATTCTCCTTATATTTAAAAATTTTATTTTCAGTTCTCATAGTGGTTTGCTGTCTCATTAAAACATCGAAATTATTAGGATAAAGGTATCTGAACCTTTATAATAGGAAATTGCTACAATAAAAATAAAAACAAAGTCCTCAGCAGCTTTGAATCTCCTTCAGTCTGAGTTCTCTCAAATACTAAATTAAGGGACCCTAACTCATGTTTGTGGATGGTATAATGTAGTTCTTAAAACACCAAGAATTTAAGAAAGACTGAATAAGAAATGAATAAGGGAGGAGGGTGTGGCATTATGGACAAAGAATTATCAAAGTAAAAATCTAATATCAGAAACCTTGATATTTTCTTGCGTTTTCATGATGTAGAAAAGAATAAACATGTGCTATGTAAAATAAAAGAACATGCATTCTGGATGTAGTCTATGTAGTCTTATTTTTAAGAGATTTAAGGGAAACAACATGATATTTTGAAAGGAATAAACAATCATTCAGGTCTTACTATGAGTCTCCAGGGAGAATAAATCTTCCTGAAATTAAAAATCATCAAATAAACAGCATTCCTATTTTTTTCCATCTTGAAATAACTTGTACTGGACTTGCCCACCCACTGAAAACAACTACAAGACTCATAAAACATATGAATCAGTTGTCCTTAGACATTGCCCAGGACTATGAAACATGCAAGAAAGGAAACAAGGTGAGTCACAGCTCTCTTCCTGGAATCATTTTCTGTCAGTGTAAAATAGGAGAAGTCAGCGGGTCATGGTGGTTTCACTGAATTAGAAGACAAGAGATCAGAAATTGGGAAGACCGAAGTAGCTTCAACTTGAAGAGTTAGAAAACTAGACCTGAATGAGGAAATCTGTTACTAAATAGAAATCTGTGTATGCATATGATAAACTTCTATAAATCCAAACCTTCTTTTCTCCCTTCCCCACCACCCCCAAAATTTCTAGTCACCTATCAGCAGAATACTTTCCAGAGCAGGAATTTAAAGAATTTCAACTAGCAGCATTCACTAGAGACCATAAAGCATTATGTTTTGTAAACTTTAGAATGAACATTTATTAAATAGAAAAAAATCATAGCTAATAAGTCGCTAATAGAGACCAAATGGAGTACCATAAAACACTTGATTAATATACAAGAAGACATAAAAGGAAAAACAAACAAACAAGTAGGACAAATTGAAATAGTTCAAGATGAGAGACTTGAACCCAATGATATTGATAATTACAATGTAAATAGCCAGTCAAAGGTCTGGCAAATAAAACTTCAATCTATTTTATATATAAAAAAGCTTTATTGAAGGGCCCTCCCTGATGGCGCAACGGGTTATGACACTGCACTGCATGCCAGCCACAGCCACAGCCGCTTCAGTGTGAGCTCAATCCCCAGCCCAGGAGGTGACCCACACAAAGTGGCAGACATCTCCTGTCTCGCCCACTGTTCCCCTCAGCAGTGTACTTTGTCAGTCTGCCTGTTCTGCTCTCCACTCTGTCTCTGGTGAATCCTCTCACCACCCCTGCACCTCTGGCCTGTACCATATGCATAAATAATAAATCTTAAAAAAAAAAAAAAGAGTTGCAGAACATTAAAAAAAGCTTTATTGGGCCCTCCCTTGTGGCACAGCGGGAGTTCGATTCCCGCCTGCCCCAGAGGTGACCACATGGCATGGCAGACCTCTCCTGACCCACCCACTGCTCCCCTCAGCAGTGTACTTTGTCAGTCTGCCTGTTCTGCTCCCCACTCTGTCTCTGGTGAACCCTCTCGCCATCCCTGAGCCTCTGGTCTGTACCCCAGTTCTGTATGCACAAATAAATAAATCTTAAAAAAAAAAAACTGAAAATATTTACTATCTGGACTTTACAGAAAGAAGAATTTCCAGCTTTCTGCCTCCTACTTCTAGAAATTGTAATTTAATAAGCAAAAATTGTTAGGCATAATGAGGAATAAAAATCAAATTACACACAGTCTATAGGACATATTTTAAATTCAGAAACACCTACATGCATAAGGCAGATGAATGGGAAACATTTAGCATGGAAATACTAATCAAAAGAAATATGAGTGACCAGCTTGGTATCAGACTTCAGGTCACAGAATATTTTCAGAGGTGAACATTTTGTAATGATACGATGCTCAATATATCAATAATATATAACAATCTTAAATGTTTACATATCTAACAACAATTTTCAAATTAAATAAAGCAAAGTTTTCTAAACTAATTGGAGAATTAATCAAATCCATAATTCTAAATAGAGATTTCAATATGAAATTTTCAGTAGTACTGCTTAAACACAAAAGCAGAAAATAAGTAACAATACAGAAAAGATGAACAAAACTTTCAGTCATTAATCTAACTGGTATTCACAGGGATTACAACCGAGATGGAAAAAGGCACAAAACAAAGAATGATGTAAAAAATAAATTTAAAAAATAGAAAAAAAAAATACAATCTAACTAGTATTTATGTAATATCAAACCCAATACCCAGAATACACATCCTTCTCAAGTACATATACACACACACACATATATATATATATTTTGAAAAATAGAATTAAACTAGAAAACAGTGACAAAAAAAGATCTGGGACCCCCAAATATTTAGAAACCAATAATGCCTTCTAAGCAATGATTCATAAGGGAAGTGAGAAAGTATTTTTTTTTAATTATTACAAAAGTTTATTTTTACATCATTTTGCACATTTTTTTTTCCATCTCGATTGTAATCCCCGCGGGTTTCCCATCACCAAATCACCCCTGTGCCACCATCATAGTTTTGTGCATTTCCCTCCACCCCCCCATTTTTGATCCCATTCCCCACTCCACCCCCACAGAATGTCTCTGGTATATGGTTGTTCATTATTTTTGTTATTTTCTCGCCTGGTCCATTATACTCCTGCTATGAGTGAAACCATCCGGTATTTTTCTTTCTCTTTCTGGCTTATCTCACTAAGCATGATCTTTTCCAGCTCCATCCAAGTTGCTGCAAAAGACATGTGTTTCTCTTTTTTGGTTGCTGAGTAATATTCCATTGTGTATATGTACCACATCTTTTTTATCCAGTCATCTACTTTTGGGCATTTGGGCTGGGAAGTGAGAAAGTATTTTTAAATTATATAGTGAAAACCAACATATCAAAATATTTGAGATGAAGCTAAGGCAGTGCTTAGAGGGAAATTAGTAGTGTAAAATGTTTATTTTAAAGAAGAAAAACATTTTTAAAATCAGTAACCCTAGTTTTTTTCTTGAGATGTTAGAAAAATAAACATAAGGTGAGTAGGAGATAAAGAATGACATCAATGTAATTAAAAGTGGGTAAGTAATAGAAAAAATTACCTTCATTTTTGAAAAGCTTGATTTTTGAAAAGATCTATAAAATTAGTAAGCCTCTCATGATTGACTAAGAATATGCAAATGTGAGAATGAAATACTAAAGATTCTTAAAGAATAATTAGGGAATAGTACATAAATCTGTATACCAATAAATTCTGCAATTTTATACGTATTACAGAGATTTAATTTTTTTGTTGTTGTTGTTAAGAACTTCCCATAAATAAAATCCCAGCACAGATGGCTGGCTTTATAATTGGATTCAACTCGACATTAAGAAATAATACCAATTTTTCCCAGACTCTTTAATAGAGAACACTATCGACTCATTTTATGAGATCAGATTTATTCTGATATGAAAGGCAATAAAGACACTGCCAAGAAGACATGAACACAGATACAACATTCCTAACAGAATTTTACTAATGAATTGCAGTAACACATATAGAAAGAATGGCACACTATGACAAAGGATGTTAGAAAGATTTGACATTTGAAAACTAATCCATACATTTATTCATAACAAGGAAAAGGAGAAAACAGTAAGACATGGTAATGAAATAGATATGGGAAATCTTGACACCCATTCAAGAAGAAAAATCAGAAAATTAGAAATAGAATCTTCAACCTTATAAAAAGCATTATATAATGCTTCTAGAAAACATCATATTTAATAGTAAAATAACTGAACACTTCCCTTCAAAATCAATAATGATAAAAGAATGACAGGTCTCCTAAATTTTACTCATCAGTATACTACAGGGCTATTATTAAGAAAGCAATAAGAAAAATAAATAAAAGGCATATAGTTTGGAAAGACAGAAGTAAAACATCCTTTTATCAAGGTGACTTGATAATTTGTGTTGAAATCCAAAAAAACCTACAAAATAACCATTAGAACTAATGGTTCTAACCATTAGAATTAATAATAAGTGAGTCTAGCCAGGCATGTGGTTATATTCTTAGACAATAGCAAACAATTCAAAAATAAATTTAAAATACTAACAAAATACACTATTTAGTGATATTTGGAAAAACCATTAAGAAAAAATATATGCGATATCTGTACACTAAAAATAAACATTGGTGAACAACTAAAAAGACAATATTCAAGCAAATCTTTGCACATATTGGAAACTAATATTTTAAGTTGTTAATTCTCCCCAAATTGTTCTATAGATTCCATTTAATCTCCTTTTATAGCAATTGACACATTAATTCTAAAATATGTAGAGAAATCTAAAGACATAAAAAGCAAAGAAAAATTTTGAAGGGAAGAACAAATCAGTGGATTAACATTATTTTTAAGACTTACTGGAAAGCTCTACCAATAATACCTGAAATTAACATGTTATATGTCAATTGTACTTTAATAAAAAAAATACAATGTGATTTTGGTTTAAGGAGAGAAATTGTATTGGAAATTAACAGAAAAAGGTCCATATATTTTTAGCTGGTATCTAAAAAAGTCTTTATGATAATTTGGTGAGGGAATTTTTGTCTTTTCAACAAATAGTGCTTAGTAATTGAATATTCACATATCAAAAAAAAAAAACACTGACCCTTAATCCTGACTTTACATCTTTTATAAAAAATTGAAATGGACTGTGTATCTAAATGCAAAGGCTAAGCTATAATTTCTTGATGAAATATTGAAGACAATCTTTGCAACCATAGTGTATGCAAAATTTCTAAGGTAGCACATGAAACATAAACCAAAAAAAGAAAATTAATCAACTAAAGTTTATCATCATTAAAGGTCATCACTAAGAACAAGAATAAATAAGCCACAGATTGGGAGAAAATAGTCATAAAAGATCTTTTGGACAAAGAATTATACCTAGCATATAGAAAGAATCATAACTTGATAAAAATAATTTAAAATAGTCAAAGTTTTTGCTTTACCACACAAGAATATACCTATATTGGTAAAATTAAAGACTGATAATACTAGATGAACGAATGTATAGAGCCACAGAGGCTGTGGCGCTCTTCTACATTACAGGGGGTAATATAGACGATAAAACCAATTGGGAAAGCAGTTTAGTGACTGCTTATAATGTTAAACATGTACTTATATAACGCAGGCATTTTACCCTAAGGTTTTATACAGAAACAAAGATATACATACACAAAGCCTGTATATAATGTAAATACAATATATCCATAAATTATAAAGTTACAAAGACTTTATTCATAATGGTCAAAGACTGGAAATGACCCAATATTCATCAACAGGAGAATGGATAAACAAAACATGGCATATCCAGATAATAGAATACTATCTGGCAATAAAAAGGATACATTTCAAATATAGTCAATAAAGTAATGAATCTCAAAAATATTCTGAGTGAGAAAAAGCCAGATGTAAGAGTACATATGGTATGATACCCATTTGTGTAAAATTGCAGAAAAAAGTAAAACACACAATGTCAGAAAGAGATCAGTGTTCGCCTGATGCTAAGGCTGGGAGGATTTTACTGCAAAGGGTAATGAGAGAATGTATTGGAGCCATAGAAATGGTCTATGTCATGGTTGTGGTATTTATCTGGGTACATAGAAAAAGATTTATATACATTTATACGCTTTAAACTGTCCATATATGTAAATTACACAATTTATCTTAATAAAGCAAAGAACCAACCCATGAAGAGCTATTTATAAACTAGCATTTTTGTTGTTGCTGCTTAGCTTTTACATGTGGTCCTATAAAATTGGAAAATTGCTTCACTGACTCACACCACCTCAAAGTATTTTGTGTTTTCCTTTGTTGTGATACTGCATTGCTTTTTCCTAATTACTTTTTTAAACCTAGCAAAATATGTTTCTTACCAATATAGTTCTTTGATACAGAAACTTCTTTGACTTCAATATGAACAGAACCTCTTGGTATCTGCACAACCTCCATGTAGCCTGGAAAACAGAAAACAGCCAGTAGTAAGCAGCCATGGTCTGAAAATGGGTGTTTAATAACCATTCATTATAATATGTTCCTTAGCCATCCATTCTTTCTTTGACTTTGTAAATTATGAAATATTGGCAAATTCCCCTTTGGGTTCATGAACATATTTAGAATATTTTTCTTTTTTTATTATTTTAATATATCTCAAAACCTCAACATGCATGTTGGTTCACGTTTACCCTCACATCATTACTTCTGAAAATTCCCAACTTAAAGAAATGTGGCTAAATGAAGTCAAGTGAAAGGAAATGCTAATTCCTTAAAATAGCTTACATAAAGCCACATTCAATACTTATAAGGCTAAAAACAATTTTAGGAAAAAATCATTTTCTACCTAAGAAATTTAAAAATAAGGGGAGGGGAGTCAAGTATTTGGCTATTCCAAGTACACCAGAGGTGTGAGGAAGCGTTCTCTCTACACACTCACCTCCTCTGGGCAACGAATCATTGAAGAACCCTTCAATGGCATCACATGTGCTTCCATCCCCTCCACAGACTCGACATCTATCTTCCCTAGCATCGGATCCCAAAATATTATCACAACCTACATGCTGGAAACAAAGAAGAATATTCAGTGCTTCAAAAAAGGAATCCTTGGAACCACAACTGACCAAACAAATGTATTTGTTTACTTGCTTATTGATTTCCAGTAAAGGAAATCAAAACAGGAAATATTTTCCTCTTTCTAGTTTTACATTTAAAAGTTTAAGAGAAAAAAATCTGACTTCCCGGAATGAAGACCTATATTTCTAACCTAGGTTTCTTCTTCATTTATAGACACCATGCTCCAATTCTTAAGATGTTATAATTGGTTAAGTAATGGACTTTTACTTATGCCTCAACTAAGAAATCCAAGAACTAAGGAAAATGACACAAGGTCCTCCACAGCATTTACTTAGAAATATGGTTGACCCCTGTTAAAAACTGACTTTGTGGAGTATCTGGTTGTTAGGGTCAAGGATTAGTTGTGGAATCCATAGCTGAATGACTCTTCAAAACTGAATACTGTTTCTACTAGCTGGATAAAACAGCCATAGAGAGTGGAGAGGCAAGCATACAATTTTAGAAACCTGAAATTCTACCTTTCCATCTTGCATTTAATTATAAAAATATGGATTTATATTTTTATGGAAATTTTTCATATAGTTACTTTTTGTACATATTTTGACACCTGAATTTGTACATTTGATCTTTAACTATTGATACCAGTCATGTAATCTTATTTGCACTTGGATCTTTTTATCTAAAAAATACTGTCAAAATAACTCTTTTCTGAAGCAAATACAGTAAACACACACACACACACACACACACACACACAGCGGATCATAAGAAACATCTGTAGACAAGTAGCCAGGACAGAAACTTTTGTAAGAAATTATGAGACTAAGTGTAGTATGCTTTTATCTCTTCTTTCTCTATATCTAGGGCTTAGTTTTGTGTTTCTCTTTAAAGTAAAACAAAACAAACAAGGGAAAATATTATGAAAACAGTGGTTTTGTGGCTTTTCTCATTATGATAAGATTCAACTACAGGTCTAAGAAAATAGCATGAATTTGCTTTTGCAATTTCCAACCAGTCTGGCTAATTCGCTAAACTAAATTCTTTAATAAAGTCAAGTCTAACTTCATAATTAAAACCATTGTAAATGCTTCAAAAGTCAAATGGAGGACCCATAGCTGTTTCAAACTTTGAGGAAAAATTATTCTAAGAAATATATCAAATAATCTTTCCAATGGGAACATATGGTAGCCACATGAAACAAAACAGAATCCTTAGTCCTACTCTTTTCTATCATATTGTTTGTGAGCAGAACAGAATAACAGAAATTAATATCCAAAATAGTTTCATAATTCTAGCCATCTCTATAAACATAATTAGAACAACAGAATAAATCATATTTGCTGGTGTTTGAATATGAATGGTTCATTCTCTTTTAACATCATTCTTATTGGAAAATGAAATTCTCTGAAGCGTAGCTCACTTTACTAAAACTGAGCATAGTAATGATTAACAGGTACTATCTAAGGAGAAAAGAGCAAGTTTCAAAAGCCCCAACAAAAAGTAAGAAATTCATAGTCTGAGCAACCTTGCATTCTCCGTTGATACAGATATCCAGTGAATCCGCATTGCACTGAGTCCCATCAATCACTGCAGGGGCACGTTCAGTGTAGAAATTATAACCTTCAGCCAAGCAGTTTAATGCGCAAGGTTTTACCCCACCTGGACAAATACAGTAGAAGAGAAATAAATGAAGTGGCTCTCTAAGGAATTTAGGAGAATTCAATGTCCACAGAAATTTATATCCTATTACTGGTTGTTTTCTCCTCTTCTAAAATTTTATGTTTATTTTCATTACTAGTGCAAAATGAAAAGAAAAAAGAGCCTTCTAAAGAATGTTAGGTTTAAAATTTTCAGGCATTTCCAATACATATTTCTAATATATTTTAAATCAAATGGTATCACAGTGGATTTTGACCTGAATGTTAAAATATTGATGGGGAGAAAGATTTTAAAAAACTGATTAAGGAATTAAAGTTTAAGGAGACTTAAGGAGACAATAACACTTTTAACAAATAGGGACTATTAACTTGTGTATCACTTGTTACTGATATAAAACCTATGCTACATTAAGTAGGAATATGATAATTGCAAAATAAAATTAGATTTATAACCTACTTTAGACATATATTCCATGAAGATGATTTTAGTTTGAGGAAAATTATAGTTAAGTCAAAGATAACACCAGATATTGCATTAAACTTAAATAATGAAATAACTAATTTTATTTTGTGACTAGCTGCATATAACTAGAAAATTTTTGTTTTGTGACTGCAATTTGTGTATTAAAGGTTAATGTGCAGAACTAATAGACATAAGCAGCAACGAAGTAAAAAAATTAGCACATGTTAAAACTCATAGTGTATTAGATAGTAATAAATCATAGACTTGTTTAACTGAAAACAGCACATAAGAAATTATCTAAACATGTAATAATCAAAATTATGACTTAAGAACAATTTTGTTGAAACTTCTCATGAAGTTTAAAACACTTTGGCCTTATTTTAATCATGCTGATAAAATTAATCTTTGATAATAAAGAAGACTATCCCTAGTCAGGAAAATAAGGCAAAAAGATGAAATGGCATGCTTAGATTTCAGTCAAAAAAGAAATCAGGTTTCTGCGCGGAAGAGGTATGAAAAGTAAAAGAGAAACATCCACTGAGTGGAGGAGACAGTGATTTATTAGAGAGAACATCCCGTTAGAAGAGATCACTGTCACAGTTGATTCTAGATGCAAGAAGAGGGCTCAATCTTATCAAACAGTTTATTTTTTGAGAGATGAAAAACCTACATTTAATTCAACATAAAACTCTTCTTCACAACTTTTCAAACACAGTGTAAAAGCTAAAACACCCAGATGTGTAAAAACTGGCCCCTGAATTGCCAGTTTACAAACGTTAGCTTAAGCTCATGTTTCTTCTATTTCCACTATCTACAGTCTACCTTATAAGTCATTATTAGGTTTAGGCTCATGATGCACTTTGCTGTATAAAGCACAAAAATGATAGGTAGTAAATAAAGCAATTTTTTCCTGAACTGGATAACCAATACATTTATATTTATTTTATAAGATTCTCATCAATTGCTTTAAATTACTATGACACTTATTGTACTTTGCTCATTGCTACCCAATGTAGTTTTCCAACCATTTTTTGCAATAATTTGGAATTAATGTAACTTTTTAATATATCAGACTTTAAAAAGAGAGCATGTGTCTTTTGCACATGTTTTTAAGTCACCATTTCAATGATTACATTTTTATAAATAACTTTCCATGTGCTGTTTTCAGTAAAACAAATCCAAGATTTATATTAACTGTCTAAGATAGTATATGATTGGTCAGACATTTAAATTCCATGATTGTGTTCTTTAACCCACTGAACAACATGATGATAATAGGAATAATGTGGTTATTCTAACCACATTTATTTAGCTTCCTTTGCTATAATAAGGAGTATTAAACTCTTTCAAAGATTTAAGAAAATTCTCTAAATGGAAGGTCACATTACTAATTACTTTTAATTAAAGCTTACTCTAAATTCAGTGTTAATTTACTAAGCACACAGTTATCTCGGTACTAATTATTAAACCACCTCAGGTTTAATAATTAGTACCGAGATAACTGTGTGGAGGATACTTCTTTTCCTCCTACCATAAGGAAGGAAAAGATACTTCTTTTCCTCCTACCATAAGGCCAAACAATCCTAAATGTATAATCACCTAATTAAAGCAGTTAAAACACATGAAGCAAAAAATTTTTAAAAGAGAAATCAAAACTATGTAATAGTTGGAGATTTTATCATACTTCTCTCAGTAATTGATAGGTGAAGTATAGCAGGAAAATTTAAAAAACATATAAAAGATCTGAACACTATCAGAAAACTTGGTGTCATGGATATTTATAGAACGCTATTGCCAACAATTTCAGAATATAAATCTTTTTTCATACATAATATTTACTAACATGAACAGTAAAGTTGTATCATAACACAAATCTCAACTTACATAATATAAATCACACTGTGTATATCCTCTAATCATTATAGAACTAAATTATGGATAAATAACAAAGAATCTAGAAAATCTCAAATATTTGGAAATAAAACAACATAGTTCAAAGTAATTCATGTGTCAAGGAAGAAATCACAATGTAAATAAGAAAATATTTGTGAACTGGTAGAAATAAAAAACACACCAACTTTGAGGAATATAGAAGAGTTGAGTAAACTCAATATAAAAAAACATAAGAGCAAAGATTAAAAGAGCAAAAATAGAGCAATAAAGTAGGAAAGCCAAAAGTTTACTATTTAAAAAGATTAATAAAGTTAATAAGCCTCAAGCAACAGCAATCAAGAAAACACGATGTTCTTAAATGAGAAAATTCAGTATCATTAATATAGCTCCCTAAATTGACCTATAGATTCCACATAACGGCAATCATAAGCGTGCATGTTTTTCTGCAGAAATTAAAACTGATTTTTACAACTTATATTGTAATACAAAGTATTTAGAAGATACAAAGGACAATTAAAAAAAAGGTCAAAAGTGGAAGAGCTTGTACTACCTGTGTCTAAGATTATAGTTATAATAATCAAATCAGTATAATAATAGCATGGGATTAACAAGTAGATCAGAAAAAAAAAGTCCACAGCTTCACTAAAAATACACACCACACCACATGATTACTTTTAGATTACAGATCTAAATATAAAGCCTGAAACTATAAGACTTTTACAAGAAAATAAAAGAAAAAATCTTGAGTTGAGATAGGCAAAGATTTCTAAGGACAGAGAACACATTCACCAAAAAAGAACAATAATGAAAAATTAATTTATAAAAATTAAAACCTCAGACTTATCAAACACCACTTAAAGAGTAATGGGAAAGCCAGAGGCTGTGAGAAAATATAAACTTATCTGATTAATAAGTGCCACTCAAAAATGAAAAAATAGCCAATTAAAAATAGGCAATGAATTTGTATTCAACTGCCTTCAATTTTATAAAAGAAGATAGATAAATGGTCAAAAATCACATGACAATGTGCTGAACATAATGAATGATCAGGAAATGCAAATTAAAACTGCTTTGAGACACCATTCTATATCCACCAAAAGAAGATTGGAAATAACAAATGTTGGCCAGGATGTGAAGCAAATAGAATACACATACAATGTTGGTGGGAGTGTGATATGATACTTTGGGAAAACATCTGGCAGTTTCTTTTAAAAGTAAACTCATATACCCAATTGCCCAGCAACAGAACTAGGAGAAATAAAGACATATGCCCATAGAAAGACTTGCACACAAATAAATGTGTATAGCAGTTTATTCACAATAACTGAGAACTACGAACAACTTAGGTGTCCATCAAGAGCAGAATGAAAAAATAAACTGGTCATTACAATAAAATACTACTGAGCAATAAAAAGGAGTGAATGACTTTCACATGTAGTAATGTGAATGAATCTCAAAAACATCAAGATTAAAGAAACCTTGCACAAAAGATTAAATAGGGCAAGATTCAATTTGTATGATGTTCTAGGATAGACAAAACTAACACAGAGTAAGATGAAAATATCTGAATAGTAGTTATTTCTTGGAAAAAGTAGGAGAGACCACTATTAATATGGAAACACTTTGAAGACTATGAGAATTTTGGAGATAGTAATATTTTATATCAACAGTATTTTACTGTCTATGGATTTGTTAAAACTCAGGGAAATGCAGTTAAGATTTATGCATTTCATTGTACTTAATTTTATTTTAAGACAAAAAAAGAAAATAAATACTAAACTATGGCTAATATTATGCATGAGTAGGGAAAAGTATATTCATGATTATAATTTACTTTGAAAGGCATCAAAAACCAGGATGGATAATGAAGACAGATGACTGGGTATATAATAGAGTAAAATGTTAATTGTTGAATGTTGGAGGTGAAAATATAGTTGTCACTATAAAATTCTTTTCACATTGCTCTATGTTGAATACATTTTATTTTAAGATGTTCGTAAAACAAACAACACAAGTTTTTAATACATTCAATATTTTCAAGAGAAATTTTTAACAAAATCTAGTTTGTATTTTGCACCTACAGAACATTGGTATTTGATACATCTCCAAATTAAAAAGCAAAAATGTTTACTAATGATGTATGTATGGATTACTAACTTTTGACCAAGAAAGAACTCAGAATTTACTGGCTGGCTTCTTGAGTTTATTTATGTTGTTACAATTTGCTTTTATGTTGTTGTAATGTGTTTGTTATAATTCTAACTATTCAATGATTAGAAATGGTAATTATGTAATTTCATATTTCCCAAGGAAGTCTCAAGTACTTAAAAATTTCTAGCTTTATATACTTTCTAGGACCTCTGTACCTTGTTAAACAGTATTAGGCTTTTTAAAATGCTTTTTGATCATTGGTACTACCATATAAACTTTTTTCCAAGAAAGCTAAAACAGAAGTCTTTTATATTACTTTAATTTGCAAACACTAATTTTTGCTAGTGTGTATATGACTGTATGTGTGTACATTTATTCTTTTATATTTGCAAAACTCTCAAGCATGGTGAATATTCTGCCAGGTTATACATTACCTCCAGTATAGGGTTTCCAGTTATAATACTTTCCACGGAAAGGCATATTGTCAAAGTCTGCACACTGTTTCTCTCGAAAATCTCGGGCCCCCAAAGGACATGGCTAAAATAAAATAAAATCATAAATGGTATGATTGTTGAAAAATACCAAAATCAAGGGACAATGTCGCTAAAATTTAAATTGCCTATATTCTGTCATATGAACCCTCTGTTTTACTCTCTGAGAATTCTGCATTTGCTCTACTGTTTTACAATATGTATTCACAAAGTGTCTGAATTATAACTGTAGCCACAGAAAAAAGAACTTCAGTAATTTAAACAAAGTTAAGGGTTAGACAGTTTCCATATAATTTTATACTTAGACACATGTCACAGTCCACTTACCAATCAGTCAGTTAGGTATCTCCTTATAAACACACATAAAAACTAGGGAAGAAACGAAAACACAAAATCCTTTTTGTTAACAGTATTTGAGGTCCAGTTGCCACAGCTACTCCCGACTATTTTAAGGAACCAAGAGACAGGTTTGTAACATGACATTCAGCAGTATTAATTGTGGTTTGGATTCCTACTACTATAGCTGTTTACTGTCTAACCCTGACAAAAACCATATTTTAAGATGTGGAATGAACTGGGCAAAATGCAATGCCTCAAATTTAAACACCTTAAATTCAAGGAATTTGAACTTATCAAGATTTACATTTAATGTGGTAACATCACAGAAAATAAAGTACTAAGTTGGTTCAAAACATGCACATGCCTGGGAGAGGTGAGGATGCTGAAAGGGTGAAGGGAAGATGACTTGTTTTAACAATTTTGAATGCTTTCTCTAGCTGAATTTTTTAAACAGGAAAATATTATTAATCTAGCAATATCTAGATTCCAAATACCACAGAGGCATCCTAACCTCAATTTTAAGTTCATCATCCCCTCATACACTGCTGAGGGAGTAGCGGGTAAGAATTAAAAGTATAACATCTCAGAGTATTTGAGCAATATGACCTAATTTGACTTATTTTTTAGACTTCTGCAGTGGAGTACTTAAAAAGCAGTTACTACTTTTGCAAACTGAAAAAACATTTACCTTAAATACAGATACACAGAAAATTCATTAGATAAAAGTTCTTATTGTAAGTGACAATAATGTTGCAAACATTCTCAGAGATCCCTTTGAGGAATCTTTTTACTACCCTCCCTTGGATCTCTACCAATTGTTTTGTGCAGTTTTCTGAGATCAGTACATTATACATGGCCCCTTGAAGTATGTGCAAAAATAGTATTTCACAATGTGCAAATATTCTCATGCTCATCATTACTGCCCATATACTGTGGTTCAGATTTTTACCATATCCATTCCAAAGCCTCAGATTCTGAAAATAGTGGTAGCAGGTTGATAGTCTGTCATAAGGTATCATTTAAAAATATTTTCTATGCACTAAAATGACAATGCAATGTCAGGCCTAAAAATTCTACTTGTTAAATTACCCTTCTTGCTTTTAAAAAAATTAAAAATAACTATTCTACATATGCTACATTGTACATCCTACCGGAAGGATATACTTCCCATGTCTTTTGTTTCATGTTCTCTGCTAACATTTATTTATCTATGTTTAAAGATTTATTTATTTATGCACACCAGAGGTGAGAAGACTCACCAAACACAGAATGGGGAGCAGAACAGGTAGACTGACTGAAATATACTGCTGAGAGGAGTAGCGGGTGAGACAAGAGAGGTCTACTGTACTATGTGGGTCAGCTCCCTGGCTGGAGGAAGTTTGGTAGTGCTGTGTCTTTAACCCCTGCACCACCAGGGAGGCCTCTCTGATAACATTAAGATCAAAGGAATACTTTCCTTTTGTAAAGCTGTCATCAACTTTTTATCATGCAGCAAGACTAGGCTTAAAGTAAATATCATCAACTTTAAAAAAAATACAAGAAACTGCCCTCCCTGGTAGCAAAGTGGCTTAAAGCACAGCACTAAGAAACTAAAGCCACTTCAACATGAGTTCGATACCCACCCTATAGTTGACCCACACGGCGTGGCAGACCTTTCCTGATCTGCCCGCTGATCCCCTCAGCAGTGTACTTTGTCAGTTGGCCTGTTCTGCTCCCCTCTCTGTCTCTGGTAAATCCTCTCACTGTCTCTGTGCCTCTGGTCTGTAACCCAGTTCTGTATGCATAAATAAATCTTTTTTTGAAATACAAGAAACTCTAGTTCCAAGTTTCCAAATAATACTTAAGTATTTGTAAAGCACCAACCTCCTAACATGGTTTTCAATAGAGCTGGTGACACTAGATGAAGGTGGAAAAGCTACAGCACAATTTCAGGAGATAAGTATATGATAGAATATTACAGGTTGCCTACAGGTGTTATATATAGTGAAAAACCAATGTGACATGTGAATAGTTCAGGAAATATTTATTGAGGAAGAAAATCTTGAGCCTACAATAAGAAATAAAACAACATATTACAATACTTAGTCTTTATTTACTATAGGAATTTGAGCTACTAAGAAAAAAATAAAGGACTTTGGGTTGGAGTCATGGGGGAAAAACTATTAAGAATGAAGCCAAGTCAAGTCATCAGCACAGGAAGGAAAAGATCCTATGCTGGGAATAGTTGGAAAAAATCCATCCTAGATGAAAGACAGGAACTATGTGGAAGCATAAGAGTTGATGACATTTCATAGATAAACACTGGTACATAAAAAAGCCCTGAATTAACAAAATAAGGCATCCTGAAAGCTAATCACATAAAAAGCTAACAAAACAAAAACCGCTATTCTTGATTATCTTGTAATGATTCTCCTAAGTAGATGAGGAGTCAAAGATCCCAATAGGCGGACTGCACTGTTTAACAAAGCACTTCATAAACATTCTGATCTACTCTTATCCCATAATGATGATTCCCAGGGTCGGCATAATAAAAATACTAACAATAACACAAGCTGCTTAGCATTTACTAAGCATTTAGTAAGTACCTACTCTCTGGTGTATATTCAGAAACCTCTAAATGTATTACCTATTAAATATCTTGACACTCTTATAAAATAGTTATAATTAAAAATCTCACTTTAGGAGCTTCGTTGGTGGTGCAAGGGGTAAAGTGCAGCACTATGAAGTTATCTGCAGCCATTGCAGCAGAAATTTGATCCCCAGCCAGGGAACTGACCCATGTAGCGCAGCAGACCTCTCCTGTCTCGCCCTTCAGCAGTGCTTTTCAGTCAGTCCACCTTTTCTGTCCCCCACTCTGTCTCTTGTAATTCTCCCACTCCCAGCATCTCTGGCTTGTTCCCAGTTCTTACATGCATAAATAAATAAATCTTTTTTTTTTAAAAAATCCCATTTTATAAGAGTAAAGTGAGTACAGAAAGATTGCTTAGTAATAGTTCCAAGGTGCAAGGATACCTCCCCCGCTTGTCTACTCACTCTGGACACAGTCTCAATACTACAATAACAGCATGAGTTTTAGCTCTGTTAAATTATTAATCATGGTAGGAGGAACTTGGATCTAGACCTAGCCTCATCTTTACCCAGCTGCAAGTTTCTTATCTTCTCCAAACTACCTTTTACTCATTTATAAATGAGATGGCTAAAGGCAAAAATTTTGGAGTAAGACAGGTCTGGATTCAATTCTAACTTAGTCATTTATTTAATCCATGACCTTGAGCAATGTACTTAATTTTCCAAGCCTCATCTATAAACTGGGTGTAACACTGGAATTTACCTCCTAGGTGAGGATTCATGTAAACTATTTAGTTCAGTACCTGGCATACGGTAGCATTCATAACTATTAACAGCTGTGCCAGTCTTAGGTCCAGATGTCTTAGGACTTATTCCTCAACCTTCTCCTGCTCTGCTCTAAATTTTAGGGGAGCAAACTCTGCAAGTTCCATTTTCTAAGCTTCTGTACAGCTAACATCTGATTGGGTTCAATCAATAGAAAGCACTTGTGGGGAAAGGCACAGTACTTCTATTTTCTCTCTACCTCAGGCATCACTGTAAGGAGAAACAGAATATTCAAATGGCTCCAACTTCACACAACCAATCTCACCCTATGGTTCCAGTTTCTGGCCATCCCAGCCACTAGGCTCTGATAAAACTACAGGTATTGTTCTAGTAGGAACATTGGTATTTTCTTACTGACACTGATATAAGGACTTGCCAGCCTCTTCTATTATCCATGCAACAAATTCTTTGTATTAAAGGTCCTCTATTAAAATAATCAGAGTGGTTTATGTTATTATGGTTAGATCTTTACTGATACATAGATAAAGACAAAGAGGAGCTGTGAGTGAGGAGGTAGAGGAGGAGGAAGAATAAAATACCTGGGAGATAGAATAAAGATACATTTCATGTATCAATTTTTAAGGTTTACTGGTTAATTTTTTCTGAAGGATCACACAGAAAATATTTTAGACTCTGTGGGTGATTAAATTTTTATTTGTGACTACTGAACTGTACACATATATATACACATATATTTATGTATATATGATTTTCATGTATATTATGATTTTTAACTCAGCAAATATTTGTGTGTGTACATATATGTACATAATATGTTTACTACATATCAGATATGATCCAGGTTCTGACCACAAAGAAACAAAAGAGATGAGGGGTTCCTGCATTCATGGATTTTATTCCAATTGAAGATGTGAAAGAAGAAAAATAAAACAGGGTGGAGGTTTACTGTAATGTGATAAGGAAATTGTTTTAATAGAGTAGTTAGGGAAATTCTCTCTGATAAGGTGGCATGTGAGAAGAGAGTTTTTGAAAACTGGGTTAATGACTTATCTTGAATACAGTGTTCCAAGAAACAGTAATACAGAGGCCCTGAGATAGGAGTGCTTTTAGGATTTCATAGAAGAGCAGGCTGGAAGAGTCCAGGGACTTTATTAGACTTGGGATTACATCCTATGCCTTTGTTTCTAGAAATTATTAGCTAATGTTCTATTCTCCTGATTTCAATGTTTCCTTAGCTAATGTTCTATTCTCCTGATTTCAATGTTTCCTTCAGAATTATCTGGATTTATGTTGACTAAAAATAGTTGGAGTTGCATATGCTGGTTCCAAAGAATGATAGTGATTAAAGAGAAA